GAGTCTTCCTTCTATCCTGATGCCGTGTCTTGTTTTGTTTTTTCATATAGTACAACTTCTTCAATTATTTGCTCAGCATACACACTGAGTAACTATGGTGAAAGAATACCACTCTGGCACACATCTTTTCCTAATTTTAAACCATTCAGTATCCTCTTGTTCTGTTAGAATAACTGCCTCTTGGTCTATGTGTAGGTTCCTCATGAGCACAATGAAGTGTTACTGAATACTTATTCTTTGCAATGCTGTCCATAGTTTGTCATGATCCATACAATTGAAAGCCTCTGCTTAGTTAATAAAGTACAGATAAACATATTTCTGGTACTTTCTGATTTTAGCCAACATTCATCTGACATCAGCAACGATATCCCTCATTCCACGTCTCCTTCTGATTTTGGTCTTAACATCTAGAAGTTCTCTGTCAATATATTGTTGCTGAAATTTTTGCATTACCTTTAGCAAAACTTTACTTTCATATAATATTAATGATATTGTTAGATGATTTCTACATTCCATTAGATCATTTCTCTTTGGAACAGGCTCAAATATGGATCTTTTCCAGTCAGTTGGCCGCATAGTTGTCTTCAAAACTTCTTGGCATAGATGAGTGAATGCCTCTGGTGCTTCATCAGTTTGTTGAAAGATTTCAATTTGTATTCCATCAATTCCTGGAGCCTTGTACTTTGCCAATGCCTTTAGTGAACCTTGCGATTCTTTCTTAAGTATCATTGGCTCTTGATCATATGTTACCTCTTAAAATGGTTGAACATAAAAATTTATTTTTGGTATGGTGACTCTGTGTATTCCTTCTATCTTCTTTTAATGCTTTCTGGATCATTCAATATTTTGTCCATAGAATCCTTCAATATTTCAAGTTGAGGATTGAATTTTTTCTTGTGTTCCCTCAGCTTGAGGAATGCTGAGCAAAAAAAAAAAATGCTTTTGGTTTTCTAACTCCAGATCTTTGCACATTTTGTTATAGTATTTGACTCTGTCTTCTCAAGCTACCTTTTGAAATGTTCTGTTTAGCCCTTTTACCACCTCATATCTTCCATTTGCTTTAGCATCTCTACACTGGAGAGCAAGTTTCAGAGTCTTTTCTGACATCCACTTTTGTTTTTTCCTTCTTTCTTTTCTTTTTAATGATCTTTTGATTTCTTCTTGTATGATATTCTTAATATCATCCTGCAAATCTCTGGTCTTCTGTCTTTAGTACCTCATGCATTAATTCTGTTCTTGAGATGCTCTCTAAATTTAGGTGGGATATGTTCAAGGTCATATTTGGCTCTTGTGGACTTGCTTTAATTTTCTTCAGCTTCAGCCTGTACTTGCATATGAGCAATTGATCATCTAGTCCACAGTCTGCCCCTGGCCTCTTTTTGGCTGATAATATGGAGCTTCTCCAGTGTCTCTTTCCACAGATGTAGTCAACTTAATTTTTGTGTGTTCTGACTGGTGAGTTCCATATGCATAGTTGTCTTTTATTTATTTATTTATTTTTTAAAGGTATTTGTAATGAAGTAGTCATTGGTCTTGCAAAATTCTATCATGTGATCTCCAGCGTCATTTCTATTACCAAGGTTATGTTTTCCAACTACTGCAGATACCATAGGGCTTCCAAAAATGCTCCTTAGCATTTTACTGGGGTCTTTGAGTTATGGCTTTGGAGAAAAATATTGAAAGTGTCATGGGCTGCCAAAAGAACCAATAGAACTGTTTTGTAGGTCAAGATGGTCAAATTTCATCTCTCATACTTTGGACACATTGTCAGGAGGGACCAGTCACTGGAGAAGGATATCATGTTTGGTGAGGTGAAGGGTCAGAGAAAAAGAGGAAGACCCCCAACGAGATGGATTGGCTAAGTGGCAGCATCGATGGACTCAAGCGTGGCAACAGTAGTGAGGTTGGCCCAGGATCGGGCAATATTTCATTCTGTTGTGCATAACGTCACTATGAGTCAGTACCAACTCGATGGCACCTAACAACAACAAGTTTTTGTGTGTTTTTTCTCCTGTGTTTGGGGAGTGTTTTTAACTTTGGACAAAGTGCTCAATCTTGCTTTAAAAAATAAACTTTCTTGGAATGTTATCAAACACACAATAAATTGAGTGTATTGAATCAGGATAAAGTTGATTTCTGAGCAGGGAATAGCAATACATGCTCTCCAACTTCTCCACCATTTCTGATTCCAGCCATTCTCCCCACACTATTATGTCTCTATTTGGTTCCGTGCTCTATTGCAATGATTTACAGAGATTATACAAAAATACTATATTTGTAGTAATAACTTTATTATATCAGGAAAGAATATAAAAAGAAGATATAAGCAGAAATAAAGACATTCATAGTGTGCGATTCAGGAAGGGTCCCACTATAGGGCCTCAATATCTCAAGAGGACCCACTTTTCTGTCAAATCGGACCCACTTTACCCTTCCTGAAAATGGATATTCATTCTCACCCATTCAAACAACTATTGTGTGATATCTCTCAGTAGGCTCCAAAACAGCTACTCCTCATTGTTCTCTGCTAGAATTCAGTCTATACATTCTGTTGCTATTGTGTGTGTTTGCTTGCTGTCTTCACCTCTTCTGGTGCCTCTTCAATATCATTGTAGCTGTTACCTCTGTTGCCATTGCAGGTTTACCCAGTCTGGGTGGTTCATAGTGTAGTACATTCATGTCCAAATGACATACTTCTACCCTGTCTCTTATCAATCAGGAGGCATTATCTGTGCTTCTATGTTTCAGAGCTTTGATCAGTTACAAGATGGGCCTTCTAGACAATCCATATAATAAGCTGTTCATGGATCGAACTTTACAATCAACTGGGGTATAGATCAGACTGGGCAGAACTTCCCCAAGTCAAACTGGGGAAAAGTTGGTTATCCTGCATGATTCTTAGTCAATCCAAGTAAAGGTCAATTGGTAATGGGGAGCTCAGAAACTAAGATCAAAATGCTAAATTGCTTGTAGGTAAGCTAATTCCTTATTGTGCACAGACCTAGTGCCACAATTAAGGAATTTATAGGCTTGTGTTAGATGTCACTCTCTGAAAAACATGGTTTACTTTTTCCCTGTGACATGGAAGGTAGATAGCTAATGACTCATAGCTTCAAGATTTTAATCTCATCAATAATAAAAAGAATGAGGTGAATCTATTGTTAGTCACAGGAAGTAAATAACGAACAAACACAGCAAAGACTCATAGGTTAGTCAAGAGTAGTTTATGACCTTACAGATTTACTTCTTAGTGGAATCAGGGTCTTCTGGAACCTCACACTATAGATTAAGCAAACATTTTTTAGGTGCTTTTGAACAAGCTCCCAAATAAAAGAAAAACAACTACAATATGTGTGACTTCATAGTTGGAGTTGGGGATCACAAAAAATTGAGCCTCATTTTTGATGGCAGAGTGAATTTGTCTAGAACTTCTTACAGTTTAAGAAAAAAATAAACTTCTTGTGGGCAAATTTCACTTGTAAGAGAAAGGCCTGTAGGGCAAGGTAAGTGTTATATATGAATGAAACAAGTTAAGTACAGAAAAAACTAGGACTAGGACAATGAAGTGGAAAGCATGACATGGTAATGTGGCAGCTACTTCATAAACTAAGAGTAAGAGAAAACACAATCTAAAATGACTTAAACAATAAGGAAACTTTATTAATCCCTTAACGAGAAGTCCCAACAATGTGTGGGGTAACTTCAACATTCATTAGTATAACAGTTCAGTGACATCCTTAAAGGGCCATCTTTTCATGTTTCTGATGTACCTTATTCAGTACATCAACTTTGCCCTAATAATCAAAATATAGCTGCAACCTTACCAGACAGGATATATGCCAACATCCAGAAAAAATAGGACAGGGAATCCTTTTCTGGAAATTTGCTCATTTCACTGACAACAAACAGGTCATATACGCTTACTTCCAAATCAACAACTGGTAAGGAAAATGAGATTACCATCATTGTTTTAGAGTAATGGTAATGTATACCTGAACATAACCAGAGTTCTGAAAACAATGAAGAAGGGAGCTATTTGGCAGGCAAATAGCCACTCAACTAAGCTAATTATTGCTATTAAACAATCTGGTTCTAGTGGTGACAGACTATCTGATTATTTTTAAGAGTTGGGAAATTGAAAGTTTATGCAAGAAATCCCAGTTTTTTTTGAATATTGGCAATAAATTCAAAACATTTAAAAATACTATGTGGCCAACATCATTCAGGCCAAATGAAATACATCTGCTGTCCAGACACGACCTGTATGTAGGTTAATAGTTTACAATCTCTATTTTATGATATCAATTTATTTAAGTAAAATTTTCTTTACAGAGAAAAAAAGATCACTTTAACTCTGTCAGTAATTAATTATATGAATATCTATAACAGAATATTTTTTAGTTAAGGACATTATCACAACCTCGTGTCAAAAGGAAACATTTTATACAAAACAACTATTTTGCTTCCATCACTTCCTTCTAAATTGAGGATTTTATTTTGATAAATAAATGGTTAAAGCAATTAAGATGCTGCTACTCATTTAATGATGGGTATAAAAATTTCTCCCACTCCATCAGTCTTCTATGATTTTTTAAAATTTGTTTTACATTGAAGAGTTAATTAATAATGTCTACCAAAATAAGAAAATCAAGGTGTTTAAAATATTTGAGCAAATATCTTTCAGCATAACATTAAAAAAATTAAGTTTGAAATGGAAAACCACCAAATTAGAGATTTCAGCTTCAGAGCTGCTTCTTCAGAGTTGTCTTCCTGCCCAAGAATACAGAGAACAGGAATCTTGAATACAAATATTCTCAAGGGCTTGTCTTGCTTGAAAAATTGAGTCTCATCTCTTCAAAATGTAGCACGAATAAAAAATTGTTAACTCCTTGGGCATCAAAAACAAATAGTAGTAGGAAAGCAAATATATTTCTCTTCAAACTAGATTGTCCAGATTTCTAAATTGATTGTTTTTCACCAGTTCTTCCTGAGCTGTTGCTTCAGACTTTTGGATTTGAGCCCTAAAAAAATGAAACTCTTTAAATTATTAATAATTTAGATATTTTACATTACATAATTATGAAGTATAAACAGTTACTGTATTATAAAGGAATTCCACTCCTAAATCTGTCTTTAAGTAGAGTTTGTACATATATTGGAACAGTTATATTTGTATCTAATGTCAGTTAGTGAAATGTTTGTCTTAATACATAGTATACATTTCTATGCCTAGAGAACATTAAAAAACACTTCCAGATATACTAAAACAACTTTAATATAATAATACATAAATAATAATGATAATAGTTTGATGTGCATCACAAAGTAGAGCCATTTGTTACTAGGAATCATTGTATATACCTCAAATTTTAATATAACAAGCTATGGGAGAGGATGGTTGGTTCTTAACTATTTGTTGTTGTGAAGGGCTGTTGAGTCAGTTCTGACTCATATCGACACTGCATAAGGTTTCCAAGGAGCAGCTGTTGGGCGTGAACAACCAATCAATGGTTAGCAATCCATTGCTTATCCTACAAAACCACATGTATTTTTGACATTCATAACCTTGGGACTGCCTATAGTAGAAATTAAAATTAATTTCTTATAGTTATACATCATATTATATTGTGGTGGTAGTGGTTGTGTGCCTTTGGGTCAGTTCCGATTCATAGAGACCCTACATAGGTTCCCAAGGTGGTAAATCTTTATGGGAGCAGAAAACCATATTTTTCCTGTGAATCGACTTGTGGATTTGAACTACTGATCATTCGGTTAGCAACCTAACTCTTAACCCATTACGCTACCAAGGTTCCAATCTTATAGATACTTGATATATCAACTGTGAGTTGGTGGAATCTTGAAAAACTATGGAAAAAAATGAAAAAAAAAAAATCACACTAGGATCCATACATCCATCTAACTACTTAGAATAAAATGGAGACAGTGGGGAACAGTAGGTGAGTCATGAGTATAACTAGATGGTTATGTTATGGAAAATTGACTTCATTCCCGCCATCCCATTGGGAAGATTTCTAAGAAAATACGAATACTTGGGTCAGCAGAGCTCTCAAGTAAAATACTTCTGTCTTCCTCCTTTTTGATTATTGGACACATTCAGAATAAAGACATTCATGTCAACATTCAACACAGAATTATACAGATAGTGCTCTTGGTAATCTTCTTTTAGAAGGCATAGCGGGATTGCTCTCCTAATACTAAGAGTGCTACAGGGTTTGAATAATTTGACTCTTACCTTAGATGTAGATATTGGCTTATTCTTAGAAATAGTAGTGGGCAGTACTTTTGTTTCTTTATGCTACATTAGTGATAAAAATAAGGCTAGGTCATTAGAAATGCTAGACTTTTTCCATCCTAGTTTATGCTTATTTCTTATCTGAAATCATTCCTTAGGTCCCCTTCACACATTTAAATTCTATTCAGCCTTCAGAGTCCAGTTCAAATCGCAACTACTCAATTAGTGAATCTGTCTCCCCTTCAACCATTCTCACCACATTTATTTTCCTCTCAACATTGTCTTTATTGTTAGTCGTGTGCATTTTGACACAAATGTGGGAAGGCTTCAAAAAGTTCATGGAGATTTTTCATTATTTTTTAATTCTATTTTTTCATGAATTTTTGAAGCCCCCTGATAGTAATAGGAATTAAATATTCTATGTGTATATGGGTTGTTTTTCCACAAAAAACATTTCTTGGGGGGGAAAAAAGTAAAGTTTAGATTTTTCTGATTTACGCAGAACAGAGTATTATGCCAAACACAAGAAAACATGCTCAGTAATTATTTGATGAATGTATGAATTCTAGACTGTACTTCATGTGTACCTGACATTTTTTTCAGGTTTGACTATATGTAGTATAATTTTTATAATTTATCTTCTTCAGGAAACACTGTGACTAATAAGAATGTTTATTGTATGAAAAATAAAACAATGTCATTTATATTGTAAAATTAAAATTACCTTTCCCCAAATTATCATTTAGACACGATCCTTTGAAGGAGACAGCCTCACAGAGAAGAATTTTTTTTTCCTAGCAATTATGTAGCAGTAGTAATAATAATACCATCTTTTAAGGAGCTCTGGTAGCATAGTGGTTACGAATCAATCTGTGAACCTTAAGGTCAGTAGCTTGAAACTACCAGCGGTTCCATGGGAAAAAGATGAGTCTTTCTGTGCCTGTAAATATTTACAGCCTCAGAAACCTTGTACAGGGTCGCTATGAGTCAGAATCAACTCCACAGCATATAACCACTATCACCAGTACAATTTTTTATAATGTTGCTGTTGTTAAGTGTCATCAAGTTGGTTTCAACTCATAATGACCCTGTATAGGGTTTCTGAGAAGTGGCTGGTGAGTTTGAACCATCCACCTTGTGGTTCAAACCAACCTTACAGTCAGTGCATTAATCAGCAGCAGCACACCAGGACTCCAGTTTTTATAATGAGGGGTTAATAATTACAATAATGTATATGTGTGGTGCTGGAGGATAAGTATGAGGCTGCTAACTGAAAAGTCTGCAGTTCAAATCTTCCATCCACTCTTCAAAAAATGTATACAGGATCGCTATGCATTGGAACTGACTTAACAACACTTAACAACAACAACATTCACAGTAATGTATAGACAGTAAACAATGTCTCAGATATCTATACCTAAGACAAATATGCATAACATCGTAGTTTAGCCCAGGACGTACATATCCTGATAAAGAACCAATGGATTCAGAGACAACATTCTTACTACATACACATATATGAAAAAGAGACTTTGAAAAATATTACTCAATGACTATCTGATACTTACTAGGAAAGAGGAAGATGACACCGTCGTAGGAATTGGAGGTGGTGGAAAATTCGGCCTGGTAAGTAGCTAATAAAGAAGATAAAGATTTTGAGTGCAAGAATGTCCTTGAAAACAGGTGTGCTTAATGAAGAAAAAAAAAAAAAATTGAATCATTTGCAGAAATAGAAAACACATGGATTTACCTACAAACATTCTAAACCTGGAAGTTTGATTGCTTTAATTTATGTGCAACACATACAAATTAGAAATACCAATCATAGTGAGCACACGATGCTAGGTATGAAGCTGATTAGACATTTTCCTGCTAGAATGAATTATCTGCTTCCTGGTTGGGTGTTCAGGTTTAGGGGAACACTGGACTGCTAAGTGCAAGGATGGTGGTTCAAACCTACCAGTTGTTCCACAGAAACCCTATCAAGGAGAGGCAGTGAGTTGGAACTGACTCGAAAGCACTTAATAAGAACAACAGGAGCATAAAAGAGAGGCACCCATTCTCACAGTTTATATTTTCAAAAAGTTTTTCAGAACAATCTATATGTTCTATTAGTATTCACACAGAAGAATAACTAGATATGGAGAGCTTCATCTATCACTAATATTTCACGGATCTTGGACTTGGGTGATATTTTCAAAGAAGTTGTTATACTCACAAAAGAAGCTGGAAGCTCAATGCCTTCCACTGACATTTCAGACCCATGGAGCTTCATCTGACTCATCTAAAAGGGAAACAATTTTTCTAAATGAAAACATAAATTTCCTAATGTGGCTTTCAAGTAATAGTATTCTTAAGGATGCTTAGACCTAAGGTGAATCCAAAAGCCAAACTGAAAATCACCATAACCCAGCTGCTGCATTTTGGCATGTATTTACCAAGAATTATCAAGTACTGGTAAGTCTCCATCAAAACATTATTACCCACTTTATTATCATTAACCAATGATAGCTAAAATCTCTAAACCTTGCAGGACATAAACAGGGAATTGAAGGCTAATATACAAATTGTTGAAGGCCTGATGGTGTAGTTGTTAAATGTTCTACAGTTAATTCAAAGGTCAGCAGTTCAAACCCACCAGATTCTCTGTGTGAGAAAGACGTGGCAGACCACTTCTGTAAAGATTTACAGTCTTGGAAACCCTATGAGGCAATTCTACTTTGTGCTCACATGTCACTATGAGTCAGAATTAACACAACAGCTGTAGGGTTTTTTGTTTGTGTGTTTGTTCTTCTAAAAACACATCATTGTCTTCACAGGGAAATAGCAAAAACTATAAGGAATCAGCCTAGAGTCAGAGATAGAAATAACTAGTATGTACTTCCCCTTGTTTTCTTTATTCTCATTGCTTTTCATAAACTCCAACAAAGTAACTTTCTATTTAAGAAAGATACTCTCTTTTGCATTTAACTAGGGCAAAGGAGGATGTCCTGAACTTCGCAGTTACAGACAGTATACCTTGCTGTATATTAAAAGCTGATGTGAATTTTTAAAACAATGAAAGATAGAAATGATAGAATGGTGGTCAGGATAAGAGAATGATTATGGGGGAGCAGACTGACAGAGGAAGTGACACCAAAATGACCTTCTATAAAATTTGCATGTAGCATTTCAGCAAAAATTAATTACTTTTTATAAAAATAGCACTACAATTAGTTATAACAACAAAAACAGTTTTTGTGAGAGCAATGTTTTTGTGAGCATTTATAAATATATAACTTGCAAGGCTAAAACGTTATGCTAATTTACTTTTTGAACCTTTAAATGTACTTATGCCAAAGCTGGCATGATACTTCATGCAATGACCTCATCTCCATAAGCTTTAAGAAAATGGCCTTTTTTCTTTATAGTTATTGTTTTCATAATAACTGATGTTAAATTTTCTGGTGTTTTAGCTACAATATGGTATTATTTGTGAATCAATGTCAATAATTTGAGAGTAGTAATTAAAGGAAAAGAAGAAACATTTTTTAAAAGGTGTTCACTCAGTTACCTACATTGCAACTAATAAAGACATAATTTAATGCAGAAAAATTTCACAAAATATTTTTTGTATTGTTGTTGCTATTAGGTGTCATTGAGTTGGTACCAACTCATGGCAAACATATGCAAACAGAATGAAACACTGCCAGGCCCCATGACAACTTCACAATCATTGCTAAGCCTGAGCCCATTGCTGCCACCACTGTGCCAATCTATTTCCATGGGGTCTTCCTGTTTTTCTCTGACCCTCCAATTTACCAAAATTGATATCCTTCTCCAGTAACTAGTTCTTCTTGATAATATGTCCGAAGTATGAGAGATGAAGTCTGGCTATCTTGGTTTCCAAGGAACATTTTGGCTGTACTTCTTCCAACACAGATTGGTTTGCTCTTTTGGAGGTCCATGGTACTTTTAATATTCTCCTCCAACACCATAACTCAAAGGTATCAATACTTCTATGGTTTTCCTTACTCCCTTTCCAACTTTCACAGGCACGTGAGGTCACTGAAAATACTGTGGCTTATATCAGGCACACCTTATTCCTCAAACTGACATCTTTGATCTTCGACACTTTAAAGAGATCTTGTGCAGCAGATTTGTCTACTGTTATATAAAGTTTGATTTCTTGACTGCTCCTTTCATGAGTGTTGACGGGTGATCAGAGGAAAAAGAAGTCTTTGATAAACTTCAATCTTTTCTCCAATTATCATGATGTCACTTGTTGCTTCGGTAGTGAGGATTTTTGTTTTCTTTACAAAGGCTATGGTCTTTGATCTTCATCAGTAAGTATTTTAAGTCCTCTTCACTTTCAGCAGCAAGGTTGTATCATCTGCATATCAGAGGTTGTTAATAAGTCTTCCTCTAATCTTGATACCACGTTTTCTTCATATGATCTAGCTTTTCGGATTATTTGCTTACTATACAGATTGAATAAGTATGGTGAAAGAATACAACCCTGGTGCACACCTTTCCAAATTTTTTAATCATTCCATGTTTCCTTGTTCTGTTCAAACAACTGCCTCTTGGTCTATGTATAGGTTCCTCATGAGCACAATTAAGTTTTCCAGAATATTCATTCTCCTCAATGTTGTTCTAAGCTTGTCATGATCCACACAATTGAAAGCCTTTGCATAGTCCATAAAGCACAGATATACATCTTTTTGGTATTCTCTGCTTTTAGTTAAGATCTGAAATCAACAATGATATCCCTTATTTCACGTTCTCTTCTGAATCTGGCTTGAACCTCTAGTTGTTCTCTGGCAAGGTATGGTTTCGGAAGTATTTGTATTATCTTTAGCAAAATTTTGCTTTCATGGGATATTAATGATATTGTCTGATGATTTCTGATTCTGTTGGGTCACCTTTCTTAGGAATGGACACAGATATGGATCTCTTCCAGTCAATTTGCCAAATTTCTTGGCATAGATGAGTGAGTGTCTCTAGTGCCGCATCAGTTTATTGAAAGATTTCAGTTTGTATTCCATCAATTCCTGGTCTTTTCTTTGCCAATGCCTTCAATGCACCTTAGACTGTTTTCTTCAGTATCACTGGCTCTTGATCATATGCTACCTCTTGAAATGGTTGAACATTGACCATTTATTTTTGGCACAGTGACTCTGTACATTCCTTCCATCTTCTTTTGATGCTTTCTGCATCATTCAATATTTTACCCATAGAATCCTTCAATATAAGGATTGAAGTCCAGACCTGACTTTTTTCTTCCATTCCCTCAGCTTGAGAAATACTGAGTGTGTTCTTCCCTTTTGGTTTTCTAACTCCAGCTCTTTGCACATTTCATTATAATATTTGATTTTGTTTTCTTGAGCTGACCTTTGAAATTTTTTATTTAGCTTCTACACTCCCTCATTTTTTCCATTTTCTGTAGCTTCTCTATGTTGGAGAGCAAAAATCACAGTCTCTTCTGACCTCTATTTTGGACTTTTCCTTCTTGACTTCTTAAGGACCTTTTGCTTTCTTCCTGTATGATTCTCTTGATGTCATCCCACAACTCTTCTGGTCTTCAGTCTTTAGTGTCTAATGCATCAAATTTGTTCTTCAAATAATCTCTAAATTCAGGTGGAACTGTTCAGGGTCATATTTTGGCTCTTGTGGACTTGTTTTAATTTTCTTCAACTTCAGTCTGAACTTGCTTATGAGCAATTGATGGTCTGTTCCACAGTCTTCCCCTGGCCATGTTTTGGATCATGATATGGGGCTTTTCCACTGTCTCTTTCCACAGATATAGTCAACTTAATTTCTGTGTATTCCATTTGTTTAGGTCCATGTGTATGCTGTTTTAAAAGGTATTTACAATGAAGTAATTATTGATCTTGCAAAATTCTATCATGTGATCTCCAGCAGCATTTCTCTCACTAAGGCCATATTTTCCAAGTACTGATCCTTCTTTTTGTTTCTAACTTTTGCATTTCAATTGCCAGTAATTATCGGTACATCTTGATTGCATGTTTGATCAATTTCACACTGAAGAGGTTGGTAGAATTCTTCAATTTCATCATCACTGGCTTTAGTTTGTGTGTAAATGTGAATAATAATGTTCTAAATTGGTCTTCCTTGTAGGTATATGGATATTATCCTACAAAACAGCATTATACTTTAAGACAGTTCTTTTCAATGTGACACCATTCCTCTTCAATTTGTAATTCCCAGCATATTAAACCATGTGATTGTCAGATTCAAAATGTCCAATACCAGTCCATTTCAGTTCATTAATGCCTAGAATATCTATGTTTATACATTGCATTTCATTATTGACAATATCCATTTTGTCTAGATTCATACTTTGTACACTTCATAGTTCTGACTATTAGTGAATGTTTACAGCTGTTTCTTTTCATTTTGAGTTGTGCCCCATCAGCGAATGAAGGTCTTAAGGATTTTATTCCATTCGTGTTATCACTGTAAAGTGTACTTTGAGAAGAAAGCTTTTCCCCAGTTGCATTTTGAGTGCCTTCCAACTTAAGAGCCTCATCTTTTGGCACTATAACTGACAATATTCTGGTGCTCATCATCATTTTTAATAGTCAATGTTCTGGTGCTGACAGTGTTCCACTGCTGTTCATTATGTTTTCAGTGACAAAAATATTAGGGAGTAGTTTGTCTCCCTTCTTCCTTAGTCTGTCTTTATATGGAAAATCAGCTGAAACCTGTCAACTGTGTGTGACCCTGCTGGTATTTAAAATACCCGTGGCCTAACTTCCAGAATCACAGCTACACACAAGCCACCACAATATGACAGACTGACACATGAGTGGTGGATTTTGTATTTAGTATTTGTATAATCTGATTCCTGGTGAGCAGCTGTGGATCTGCATATGACTGTGAATCACAAGATCAGTAGTTCAAACCCACTAACTGTTCCTTGGAAACTCTATACAAGGCCACTATGAGTTGGAATCGACTCAAAGGCACTTAACAACAACTTAACATTCATATAATCTAATAATTATTACATTTAAGAAATTTAAAGCTCTATTTAAATTTGTTCAACCATTTCAAGAGGTACCATGTGAACAAGAGCCAATGATACTCAGGGAGGAAGTCCACAGTGCATTGAAAGAATTGGCAAAGAACAAGGCACCAGGAATTGATGGAATAAAAAATGAAATCTTTCAAGAAAGTGAGGCAGCACAAGAGGCACTCACTTATCTCTGCCAAGAAATTTGGAAGACAACTATCATGCCGACTGATTGGAAGAGATCCATATTTGTGCCCATTCCAAAAACAGGTGACCCAACGGAATGCGTAAATCATCGGACAATCTCTTTGATATCTCAAGCGAGTAAAGTTTTGCTAAAGGTAATACAGAAAGGGCTACAATCATACATTGACAGAGAACTTCCAGAGGTTCAAGCTGGATTCAGAAGATTCCGTGGAACGAGAGATATCATTGCTGCTGTCCAGTGGATCTTGGTTGAAAGCAGAGAATATCAGAAAGATGTTTACCTGTGCTTTATTGACTACGTGAAGGCTTTCGATTGTGTGGATCATGACAAGCTATGGACAACACTGAGAAGTATTAGTATTCCAGAACACTTAATTGTACTTCTGAGGAATCTGTACCTGGACCAAGAAGCGTTGTTCGAACAGAGCATGGGAACACTGAATGTTTTAAAATTGGGAAAGGTGTGCGACAAGGTTGTGTTCTTTCACCATACTTATTCAACCTGTATGCTGAGCAAATAATATGAGAAGCTGGGTTCTATGAAGAAAAACGTGGCATCAGGATTGGAGGAAGACTCATTAACAACCTGCGATATGCAGATGATACAACCTTGCTTGCTGAAAGTGAAGAGAACTTGAAACATTTACTGATGAAGATCAAAGAACACAGCCTTTGATATGGGTTGCATCTCAATGTCAGAAAAACAAAGATCCTCACCACTGGACCAATAAACAACATTCTTATCAATGGAGAAAAGATTGACGTTGTCAAGGACTTCATTCTTCTTGGATCAACTATCAACACACATGGAAGCAGCAGTCAAGAGATCAGATAATGTATTGCATTGGGCAAATCTGCTGCACAGGAACTTTTTAAAGTGTTGAAGAGCAGAGATGTCAGCTTGAGGACTAAGGTGTACCTGACCCAAGCCATGGTATTTTCAATAACCTCATATGGATGCGAAAGCTGGACAGTGAATAAGGAAGATCATAGAAGAATTGATGCCTTTGAATTGTGGTGTTGGAAGAGAATACTAAAAGTGCCATGGACTGCCAAAAGAACCAATAGATCTATTTTGGAAGAAGTGTAGCCAGAATGTTCCTTGGAAGCCAGGATGGTTAAGCTTCATCTCTCATACTTTGGACATATTGTCAGGAGAGAACAGTCACTGGAGAAGGTTGTCATGCTGGGTAAGATGGGGGGTCAGAGAAAAAAAGGAGGAAGACCACCAATGAGATGGATCAACCAGGTGGCACCATTGATGGCATCAAGTGTGGCAGCGGTAGTGGGGTTGGCCCAGGATCGGACATTGTTTCGTTCTGCTGTGCATGGGGTTGCTATGATTTGGTTCCAACTCGATGGCACCTGACAACAACAACAACAAAACTGATAGTAAGCACTAAGGATTCTGTATGGTCAGGTACAGGAGAAGGTCCATGAGAAGATTTGGGTAACACAATGAGTTACCATTCTATTTAACATTAACCTAAGAGACACTACTGTGTATGAGAAACTGTAAAATTATAGTCTACCTCCTGCGGTTGAACAGCTTTTTCCATCTGTGGTTTCCTCTTCTGTTTGCCTGGTGTGGCACCACTGCTGGACAATGGCCTGGAGTAAAAACATTTAATGTACATTGATTTAACAGTTCCTTCAGCAGAGTGGAGAGACAATTTAAATGTGTCCTCTTTCTTTGCTTATTGTATCATCCTTGGTTAAAGACTGATTTTTGTCTGTTCCCTAGGGAATGTTTCCACTTTTATTCTCTATCAGCTGCCTTCTTGTCCTATAATTACCAACAATGGTTTTCTTTTTGATACTCTTCAGAATCCTGATTCTTAATAACAATGGTATTGATATAATTTTACTAAGTTATATCTTATAATTGTCCTGGTGTGGTGCTGTGGGTTATTGCGCCAGACTGCAAAGCCATTTGTACTGCAAGGTCGGTAGTTCAAACTCACCAGTCACTCCTCAGAAGCTCTATATAGGGTCGCTATGTGTCAGAACTGACTCGACATCACTTCACAACAACAACAACAACATAGTAGTGTAAATATCTGTAACAATGAGAGTTATTATTACTGTTGATAATTTTAAATACAATGACTAATAGAAAGAAAATGATACATATCTTGCTGTAAATTTTGTTTTTAGTAAAAGGGATATGCAACCTCAGGTCCAAGAATAAAAAGCATCTGCACATGCTTCTGAATATTTGATATGAAGTAAAACTAAATTTGAGAAGTTGGGTCATATCCTTCAAGTTAAAGTCAAATAGGGGACAAACAAAATACTGAAGCAAGATAAAGGCTTACCTCTGGACTTTGTTCTGCTTTCCTCTGGTGCTTTGGTGCCGGATTACTATAGCAACCACCACAAATATGACAGCCAAGGGGAACAGCACCCCAACCACAATGGAGAAGTCTGCAGCAAAGAGGACAGGAGCTTAGTCAAGTGCATTAGAAATTCATATTTGCCAATCTCACTGTTGTTATGCCATCAGTTCTGACTCATAGTGACCCTATTGAGGGTTTCTGAGGTTTTTCCAGGAATAAAAAGCCTCATCTTTCTCATGCTCTGTCTCCCTAGTTACTTTTATGTAGTGCAAGTTCCATTTACTCTTCACCTAATGATGGCATAGTCCCTGGAAAAGCTCTTATTATTAATGTTAAAAACGTTATTTTGAGCATTTTATTGCAACAATATTTTGAAAAAGAAAATAAATATTAGGCAACTAATATGAGAAACAAAAGGAGCTCTGGTAGTGTAGTGGTTACAAGTTGGGCTGCCAACCAACCACAAGGTCAGCAGTTCGACACTACCAGCTGTTCCTCGAGAAAGATGAGGCTTTCTGCTCCCGTAAAGATTTACAGCCTCAAAAACCCTGTACAGGGCTCCACGGCACATAACCACCACCATATAGCAATTTCAGGAAAAGAGAGCAGAAAAGAGACATTGAAATTTTATAAAAGCATGGAAGAAGAGAGCATGTTTCTCAGACTAGATGTGTAATGGTACATACGGTAGACCATTGTGGAGTCGTCGCAGTCGGGTGGGGCCCAGCCTTCCTTGCACTGACACTGCAGCTTATGGTCACAGACCTAGAAGAGCAATGATCCAGTTACTGTCCCACCAGACCTACCAATCTACAAGGGCTTATTCATCCAGAAGGATGGAAAAGGAATAATGTCTGTCCTGTCTCATTTCATATATATACAAAAGGTTTAAATCAAGAATAGGAATTTCAGTAATGGGGCTCTTAGACAAAATAACTCATTGAACCACAGTACTGAAGAATTTAAAAACCTAATTCTGATCATTTAATATTCACAAGGTGACTTTAGCCTCATCATAACCGATTTAAAATTACACAACACCCAGATAGCTTAAGGAATCATATTCTAAAAACTTACAGCATGTCCTTTGCATTTAGATGAGCAATTAGTTGATTTGTAGGCTCTTTCAATATCTACACATTCAGCATTAATGCAAACCTGAAAGTGATGTGAAAAACAAAAAATTGACATTAATGCCCAGTTGTGAAAATTGTTGAATTTTTGAAATATACTCACATATCATGAGTTATTATTATAGTTATGGAAAATGATGAAGTAAAAGAACTGACCAGAACATTTCAAAGGGTAGGTAAGAATACAATATATTATAGAAATGTGAAAAGACTTGGAGTTTCAAAATCAAAAGTGTTCAATTGAAAAAGAACAACTATTATAAAAAGTCATGAAAAGGTTTTCACACTTAAAAAAACATTATTTAATAGTTACAAAGTGTGGGAGGGGAGGGAAAATTACTAAGTGATGGGCAAAAGGAAGAAAAGAAAGAAGAAAGAAAGGAGAGAAAAAGAAACAGAAATTCAAAAGGGAATGACATATTCATACTCAGCATTTACCAAGCTGAAAGAACTGAAGAAAAAATTCAAGACTCAGATTGAAACATTAAGGATCTCTTGGGTAAAATATTGTAGCATCAAAAGAAGATAAGCACTGGACTGCAAGGTCAGTCTGAACCACCAGGTCAGCAGTTCAAACACACCAGCCATTCCTCAGAAACCCTATACAGGGTCTGTATGAGTCAGTACCAACGTGACAGCACTTAACAACGACAACAACATACCAAAAAGAACTGATTCCATTCAACCATCTCAGGAGGTAGCATATGACCAAGAACCAATAGTATTTTTTTTTCAATGTTTAATTGTGAATTATGTGACAGTTTATGTGGGAGAACATTAGCCTTACATTCATCCTATTGTATATAGTTTCCTTGCCATGGTTACATTCCCTCCATGCATCATAAACCAACCAAAGGGTACACCCTGCAAGCCTGTCCTCAGCACACAGCCCTCTCTTTCTCTAGGTCTAAAGTCCCCAGCTGCTCCATCTCTCCATGTCATCATCTCTGCCTCCATCTCTTGCATCACTGCTTCTCTGTGTAGGGTCCCGTTTCTAGACTGCAAAGTTAATCACTCCCCTCCTTTTGCTGCAAAATGTCTACCTTTACATTTCCAACCCTTACAATCAGTCCTGACAACAATTATTCACCATTGTATCACAAGAGACCCATCCGCATCTCCTTTCATCAGCCCCACCTAGACAGATTGAATACTACTCAGTGGCAATTCTACCTTCCTCTGAGCCTCTGGATCTAGGTTCCCTCTTGAAAGCTTGTAAGCCAGTCACTTCTTGCCTTTGTAGCCCCCCTAGTTTGGGTAGCCAATGTCCAAGTTGCCCATCCCTGTCTACTCTGTGTAGGTAGGGGATGGGAATGATCCTTGCTGTGAAAATTTGTTCCCTACTGCATCCATAGGTGTAGGTCAAGTTCATCAAATTGTATCAAATTACTCTTTTTTTCCTCTTCTTTCTTCTTCTAGTTGAGCTCTGATCATCCAGTCATCGAATCCAGTTCAAGTGGGTATTATCTGAAAGTGTGGGTGTTCTTATGTATATCCCCTCTCTTCTTATCAGCTGGATGCTTCACACTCCGCTCTAGTCTTCTGTGACTATGTCATTGACTCTGGGCCCAAGAGTACTCAGGTTTTGCCACACTGCTGGTCAACCAGATTTCCAGCTGGGTTCTCAGGAGTCTATTGAACGTTGTAGGGTTTGTCTCACAGCTTCATTGCTGTTTTCCCCTTATCAGTGATGAACATGGTCACCATTCAGAGTGTGTATTCCCATTGAGTCTTAGTCTTAGAAGGAGGTTTGCCCTGAAGGGATCTGGTCACTTGCCTTGATGTCTCTTGGGTGAGCCACTTGCTTGTTCTTATAATAATCAGTCGGTCTGCCTATATTGTTTTGTATTTTTCCTGTGGGTCTTTCTTTCAAGAAGTATCTTCTGTTCTTATAGCTACTCTAGGCTGGTCTGCTTGTCCTTTCAGTGGATATTTCCCACCTCAGAAGATTCTGGATGAGGTTCAGGATTCCACCAATGGCCTTATGTTATGCAAAAGCTCTGCAGGAAGCCTCCTTCACTGGACATGTTGTAGCCCCATTTTAAGTATTCCAATCAGTTATAGGCAGAAGACGGACTTACAAGCTTTCTATGGTGATATTTCTGGGTATTCCTTTCTCTCCTCCTCAAGTGTCTATTTTATAATGATATGTCAGGGAAACCAAGATTCAAAAGACATCCAAGCATCTTAACATTATTTCTCCTCTTTTCCCCCACTCCGATCATGCCTCAATCCCTGTATCCCAGAGCCCTGTTGTTCCATGTCTGGCTTCACTGCCTCTCTAGGTAGGGTCATGCTCCCCACTCTTCTCACTTGATGGACCTAGGGACCTCTGCTCCTGGGCTTCAAAGTCAATAACTCCCCTCCTTTTGTAAAAAAAAAAAAATCTACCTCTACATTTCCGACCCTCACAGTCAGTCCTTATGACAATTATTCACTATTGTACTACAAGAGTCTTATCCCCATTTTTTTTTTGCCAACCTGGTCCCAACAGATTGGAAATCATCCAGTGGAGGGTCTACCTATCCCTGCCCCATCTGGAACTAGGCTCCCTCTTGAAAGCTTGTGAGGGAGTCACTTCTTGCCTTTATAGCCTCCCACCCCCACCCCACCCCCCAGCCCCATCATTTTGGGTCTGAGCAATTTCTAGCCCCTTTAAGGTATTCCAATCAGTTATAGGCTGAAGACGGGCTTACAAGTTTTCTATTGTGATGTTTCTGGCTATTCCTTCCCTAACCCCCACCCCCACACACACAACTGTCTATTTCACAATGGCAGGGAAGGGAAACCAAGATTCAAAAGACAGTCAAGCATCCTAACATTATTTCCTTCTTTTACCCTTTCAGACTATGCCTCAATCCCTGTATCCCAAAGCCCTGTTATTCCAAAGTTGCACATACATCATCATTTACGTCTGTCCCATTTAGCCCATGTGAACCTGCCTAACTATTCTCCCATCTACCTTGTTCTTCTATTCCCCTACCCCTTCTTGTGTACTCTCAGGCCCCTGACCCCAGCAACCAAGCTTTCCTATATCTATTCCCTACCCTGTGCACTATCTTTCCCTCCTTCCCTCCCCTCCTCTCATCCCATACATCTCAATGATCAGCAATTATATATATAGTTTTGTGGGTTTATTTCCCCTTTTGGGTGGGTTATTTTTCTTAGTATTTTACAGTAGTGGTCCTATGCAGTATTTCTCCTTTTGTGACTGACTAATTTCACTCAGCAGAATGTCCTCAAGTTTCACCCATGTTATGCGGTAGCTTGAAGCTTCCTTGTTGTTCTTCAAGGTAGCATAGTATTCCATTGTGTATATGTACCACAGTTTGTTTATCCATTCATTAACTGATAGGCATTTAGGCTGTCTCTGTCTTTTTGCTATTGTAAATAGTGCTGCTATGAACATTGGTGTGCATATATCTACTCGCATTATGGCTCATATTTCTTGTGGGTAAATACCAGTAGAGGAATTGCTGGATCATAAGGTATTTCTATTTCCAACCTTCCGAGGAAGCGCCAT